TTATTAGAATATTCGATATTTTCCTAATTTTGATTATATATCGATTATCCAAATATTGATTATTCCGATAAATACATTGTACGAATATATATTGTGTTTGTGACATATAAATTATTGTTTGTATTGTCAACATATCGTAGTTAATTGATCCTCATGCAACGTGTCAAAGCGTTCTATCAATTGTAAATAAACATGAAACATTTGACTCGATATAGTTTGAATAATAATCGCGAGAGATTATTAAATGAAGATAAAATTTTTGAGCAGAGATTTATGTGTAATATTTCGATTTTATGTACACGTGAATTTTTTTTTATATTTGTATAAAATCTGAATATTGTGTGATGATAGCAATGTGGATCAAGAGTTTAAGATCGTGTATTTGACAAGATGAAAATTTGAATTTTTATCAATAAATAGAATTTAAGATGTTTGTTGAATTAATAGAGAGGTAAAATTGTTTGGATGATTCATAAATAAATAATTAATAGAATATTTAAAGATTTTTGCAGCAATATTGTATAGAAAATATACTAATAATAATCTATTAATAAATAATCCATTCTATTTTATGTATATTTTCACAAACAATGAATATTACAAAATTTTTAAATTTCGAATCTTATAAGTTGTTGTTAACATTAAAAGTAATCCTAAACTTTTAATCGATCGAGTGCATAAATGCAAGATTCTATGTATATTAGAATTTTCGTGATAAGATAGTTCAATATTTACTGTGTGATTATTATACGTACTTGCAAGATAATTTACTTACTAACTTTAGTTAAAAATATGTACATGAATATAAAATGCTCGAATGGATGTTGACAGATTAAATCGAAACGATGATTTATGTTATTTTATTATTTATATAAGTATACTGATAAAAATCTATGATGCAGAATGATCTAATAAAGTATGATCTAATAAAGTATCCAGATTCTACGTTGATGCAATCTTACAAAAAGTTGTATAAGATCAATTCAAAGAACAATCATTGTAATTATGATCGATATCATTTAAGGAAAATCGGGTTAAAAATTTATGCAAAATTGCAATTCACGGTGCAAAAAATAAAAGGATTAGCGAAATCATTAATGATAATTGACTAATTAACATTCAAATAACATTTATCGAGGAAAATATGTGGAAACAATGTTAACATAATGAGCCATTATAAAATAACAATTTATTCGTTTCGTTATTCGAATAATATGACTCTTGATTTTTGTTAATAAAGCATACATAATAAGCATAAAACAATGCGATTCAATTCCCTCTAATATGTTAATCTTACTAATTATGATAATTATTGATATTTCGCACATCAGTTAATATATTATGAATATTTCATTACAATTTTAATTAGAATCCTTTCAATACTTCAAATGGGAAAAATTTTAGAGAATAAAGAACGAATAAAGAAATTTTAGAGAAAAAAGAATTAAATTTTAATATTTCTCGAAAAAAATTTATTCTTCGATGTAACATCACGATCTTAAACATTGTATATAATAATTGTACTCAATTTAAAGATCGTAAAATATGTTTTATATATCACAATTACAAAGACTCGAGGAATACAAATTTTGATTCGCAATCTGACGTGAAATCGATGATAAAAGGAGAATACGAAAAGTTCTAAAACTCGAAATCAATTAGAACTCTTTCATTCTGATTCTTCTAAAAAATTTTGAGAATAAAATTATCGATTAGTCCGCTCTGTTAATTTCTGAGGATTTTTTAAGCCTCCGTTCGTTAATATGAATACAAAAGCGTGATTCCGCGAAATTTTCAATTATATTGCCGACAAGTAGCTTAATTATAGAATGTAACGATCGTTAGAGGAATTACACGGAGTAAAATCAGCGGTTCGAATGATCAACGGGCTTACGCAAATGGCGAAAGTAAGAGGAAAAACATCGCCTTGAATGGCTCGATCTTCGAGGTTAAATTATTTCCTCGAACGTTTCAATATTGTCGTGAATAGAAATGCATTTTAAGTTTGTGTTCATGTATTGAGAAAAATATTAAAATATTAAAATATGGTAGTATACGAAATATGTACACGATTTTAAGTAATTTTAACTGTGCCATCGAATGTATTTTTGAATTTTGTACAATTTAGATTTCCATTTATTTTGAAAGTAATACAAGTCCATTTTCCTTTGTATTGGGATTGTTTTATTTTTTATTGATCCTGATAACATCTGCTTATTCTTGATTTGTCTTTACGCGTTTAAAAAGCTATAAATAAATTTTTTTAGGAATTAATTATACTAATATCTTTTTCTGAAATATTATGGATCGTGGATATACATTAGTCTAGAGATGAATGATAATTCTATTTATTAATTGCAGTGTGTATAAATATAATATATAAATGAATACTTTATTAGATAAAAAAAAATTAATTAATGTCTGAATAATTATGTTTATTTTATTGATCAAAAGTGACCTTGTTTCTTAATCATAGGAAAAATAAGAACATTAAACATTTCTCATTCAATGTGACATAAATAATGAGGATAGGTAATTTTTTTTATCGCATTATTAAAATTATATTCATTAAAAATGAATATGTAAATTCTAATTATACTATTTTGTTTTATCCTCTTTCTTGCACAAAACTAATGATATTTAATAAATATTTAAATTATAAATCACTATTTTTCAATAAAAATTTCGATAACATTGAAAGAATAGAGAAACTCTTCCAGTTCTCTCGGATCTTATTCATCACTATTATTTCACTTTATTTCCTTATTTCCCATTTTTGTACTTAACAAACATCTACATAAAAGTAGTAGGAAGTAATTAATATTAATCACACACATGACTCACTGCAATATCCTTGATAAGTATTCTTTCTAGAATATTTCTATTTAATCATATATTCCATTTGAATATTTGAGATAATTACTAGTTCAATGTCGATCGTTGGACTTTTTTCTTTTTTTTTTCTTGCTACCTCTTAGATTTGTCAGAACGCGTAAAAACGAGTGAGAAGAGATACCATGGATCGTGTCCACATGGTTTCCACGTTTCCACGAGGTACGAGACTCAATGTCGCCTATATATTTTCAGTTTGCACACCGAATCGCGACGAAAAATCTCCATTTCTACGAACTAGTAGACCGTGTCTGGTATGAAATTAAAATTAACACAGCGTCGTAGTTAAGCATGCAAATGCATTTTTTTTTTTTCGTGCACGTGTTAAGAATCGGGGTGCATGATCATTTCATATTCACGCCGATGATAAACATTTTTTTTCTCTCTCTTCATTTTGCTTCTTTTTTTTTTTTTGTAGTTTTATATTCACAATTTATTTGGAATTCTTTATTATTTGGAAATTGAAAGCGACCAATCTTTTGTTAATTTCGACGTGTACAATATGTGTGTGTGTATGATGATTATACATGCAAATTATACCTCCTTCTTACGAATAAAGTGTAATTTTGAATTTTATCAGAGAGAATTTATGATCTACGCGAAGCAGGGGAATTTCGAAGTTTTCGCGGAAGGATAATAACCTTGAAACTACTTATAACTACTTTTATTATTTTAGAATTTATGCGTAAAAATTTACAATCGATATCAAGGATATGCCGAGTAAAATTTTAAACAAATGAAATAAATTTTTTGTTTGATTCGATCGAAATTGTGAATTATGCATTGTATGTACAATATTAATAATTATATTTCGAAGCGTGAAATATTTAATAAGAATTTAATTCAACGTTTATTTATTCTTATCTGAAATATGTATATATATTCAGTGTTTCGTGATTCGTTTTTATTTTTCTTCATTTGCGTTCATTTATCATTATTCAAAATATATAAGACGTATTTATGGATGGTAATATATACGCATCTACGTACGAACGTTCATTTATCTCTATTCAAAATATATTAAATGTCTGGCGAGTTATGAACGGTAATGTATACACATCCACGAATTTCAAAAGAATCCATTCGAAAATGCTCAACCCTTTTTTCGTCTCTTTCATTTTTCTTTTTTTTTTTTTTTTTAAATGGTGTTTCGAAAAATAAGAAAGAATTGTTCGAATCATTTTAAATGAAATCACAATCGAGTCATTTCCTTCCTCCTCCTTTCAAATTTAAATTTAATATTTAATTAGAAGAGAAATGAAAGAAATATAGAAAAAAAGTTGTTCAAATAATTAAAAATAATTGTAAAATTATAATCATAATTAGAAATTCATAATTTCAATAACAATTTCATTCACAACAATCTGTTAAAAAACTCACTGAACAGATTTCACAAATAGTCAACATTACTTTATCAATAAAATCTTATCAATCATCTGACAAATTCGAAACTATCTATTCAATCTTATCATCGATTTATATCAAATCAAAGGTATAAATTATTTTTCAAATCCAACATCATATTTCAAATACTCTAATAAACTTCCATATTTCCAAAATTTCCTTTTCTCAAAAAGAAAAATTACCATTTTCACCTTTTACTTTTTTTTTTAATCCGCGACTCAAGAGAACCATCGTATAATAAGAAACGCTATTTCCAACGTATCCATTATTATTCAAAAGCGGGCGAGGTCAGAGGCGAATTTGCATACAGCGGGCAGTGAAACAGGACGCTTTTCCACGTCCCGAAATTTCCTTTCCTTTTTCTCAAAACGAGCCACGTCCATCATTTCCAAAATCGGAGATATAATTTTTTACTTTTTTTCTTTTCTCTTTTTTCTTTTCTCTTTAATCCTCGAGAACGAATACGTCGCGAAAAGAAAAGCTATTTCCGTACGTATCCATTACGTATTCAAAAGGGCAGTGAACGTCGTCGATTTACCCTTATATCGCGCAACGAGGGGCCACTAGGAGGGATGGCGAGGGGAGGGGGGCGAGAACGGATCCTTGGCGGGACGCGATAAAAATGGAGAGCCTCGACTGAGACCGCTCACGCGGACGGAGACCGCGTAAAATGAGAAATGCATGAGAAAGGGGAGCCAACTTACCGTCGTGGGAGTCGTAGAGGTAGATGATTTTCTTCCATCCGTAATATCGCACTGTGTCGATGATAGCGCGATGATAATCCGGACGCATGCTTATGGCGAAATCCAGGAGACCGGAGGACGGTGTCAGAACCTGTAACACGCGTGTACATACGTGTACCTATCTAGAAGAATTGGGAAGAAGAGACGTTTCTGAAGAATTCTATCCAAAGAAATCGTGAGGAATTTGAAATGAAATCATTAAACTTAGGTATTATATTTATTGGAATCAATATTGAATAATAAGAGATAGTTTCTATTTTTATTCACACGTAATATGTTTTTATAAAACGCGTTTTTAAATTTTAAATTTTACTCGTACAATTTTCGAATTGGATAAGTTGATTTAATTATCGGAAAGGGATTGTTCCATACACATGAAAATATAAAAATTATTATAGTATGATCGTTTAAATTCTTTTTGGAGGGATGGAACAGAATTAAACGATCGAGAAATTATTAAATATAGTAATTATTAAATCCTTGATGATCTTCAAACTAATTTTCAAATGAAAAAAAGAAAAAGGAAAAGACTGTATACTATATTTTCCGCTTATTTTCGCACATAAAGAATCCTATTCAAAAAATTTACTCGTATCCAAGATTAGAGAATTAGCCAATTCCTATACTCCACTCCACGGTCGAAAAGTTTTCACGAACACGATTCCGAATCGAGAACAAAGCTTAAACGACAAAAAGAAATTTTTTTTCGACTCGCTTTCGCGCACACTAGAATCACTTTCCTGCCAGCTTACAAATACAAGATCACGTATACACGTTTTCGCTTTCAGATTTTATTCATCCGCGAACGAAACTCGAGAAGCGTTGAACGGTGTAGTTTCCTCTGAGGTGGAGGGCCAACCGACGAAAACCCGGCACGATAAATGTAATCGTAAATAATTACGACGCGCGGCGTGGCGTGAATGGCGGTCTGTTTGAAAGCTGCACCCGCAACGTGATATTGGACTGTTTCAAGAGTTTTCTTGTTGGCGAGGTAACCGGTTGATTTTGAGCGAATTACGTTTTTGTTCAGGGAATAGTGGGGTTTAATTTTTTTTTTTTTTTGATATTCACAAATAGCTACAAAAAGTTTTTTCTCATAAGTCTTCTAGCAGACGTATATATATTCAGTTGTCGTACGTAGAATAAAAATAATTAGTTAAGAAAAATGAGATAAATATATCGGATGTGTAAAATCAAAAATCACAGGTACAGGTTAAAATAAGTAATACGAAAATTAAGAATAAACAAATTGCATTTTTGACAGTACGAGGAGCGGGAAACAGAAAATTGGGAATAACGTTAAATTATTTAGAAGATTATTATAAAACAACGATCTAATTATTATAACAAGAGAATTCATAAATTTATAATGATAAAGCAGTTTCGAATCCAAGTCACGTGAATTCCGATCCAAGCCTATTGCCTCCATCAACAAAAGCTGGAAAGGAAGAGAAAAAGCAAAGGGAGAACAAAGAAAGGGATAACGGAAAGGAACAGTCATCGCGTTTCACAAGATGTTAAGGGAAAATAGCACAATAACATGGAGGGATCGGTGGAAATTGAAAAAGATCTCCTCTTATAAATAGCAGTTCTTTCTCCTGCGAGCCGTAATTGACTAGCCACATGGGGGGGTAACAGAGAAAAGTAGAAAGGAGAGGATTGAAAGACAGAAAAAAAGGAGACAGAGAGAGAGAGAGAAGAGTAGAAAAGGCAGAAAAAGAGAGAAAAAGAAAGGAGAACGAGAGAGGTTTCGAATTAGCATTACCACCCGATTAGCATTTAAACAACATGAACGTTCGTTACACGATTGCGTGCTCGTACAACATGTCGAAACAGATAAAAACTCACACTTACGCTCCAGATATACGGGGCCGCCATTCATCCAATATGGACGTGCTATACACGTTTCGCAAGTGGCGCCACCCGACAAATGCGCCACCCGATGCGACGAATAAATTTTCGCCCTATCCGATTCATTTCGAGGGTCAAATTGTAATATGTTCGTGCACACCCTATATACATATTTATTTATGAGCAGGAGGATATAAATGATCCTGGAAAGGGAAGAGTGGATGATAATTATCTACAAACAAACAAACGAATGAAATTTTTATTTTCGATCTCGATTTAATCGATAATCATCACGATCATATTTCTCTCGATTTCGATTTTCTCTTGCGTAAGTGTGAGATTTATGTATGCGTGAAAAAAAAAAGAATGAAAAAAAAAACGAAAGCAAAACTTGTGAATGATTAATGATATATATATATATATATGAGATAAATACCGTAAACTCTGGCCTGTTGGAAGTAAATGTACACGAGTGTGGTAGTTAAGAAGGTGTTTACGAGTCAGAATGATTTATTGGTAATACGTTTGTACATACATTTATGGATGAACCGTAGCTATATAAATAATACAGAGAGAATACGGTACTCTGGTAATTGTCGATAAATACATGTCGACCGTAAAGATGAATCTTTATCAATCTCGACTCTTGTCTCTCTTGAGCGTGTGTGTTCGTAGCGCAAACAAATTTTGATTCGAGATGAAAAAGAAAAATATTTAACGGAGAAGAGGGAACAATGAAAGTAAAACTGGCGAGGTATGACTAATGAGATAGGTATGAGGATAAACTTTGAAGAATTTCTACGAATCTGACCTACTGGAAGTGAACGTAAGTATGGTAGTTAAGGAAGAGTTTACGAGTAAAGTTGGAATGCAAGGAGATGAAGTTTTTTTGTTGGGTAATTAAGTTGGAGGATAAGTTGAATTAAAATTCTTGGGATTTTTGATACTTTGAAATTATACCTTTTCCCCCTCCTCTCCTTTGGCATTTCTTCAGTTAACTTAAACGTTAAACGGTATTTATCATGTTTTTATATCTTTAATGATACAATTTACCATCTCTGTTCTTTATTTTTGTTCGAGTTATATTAGTTGATCGAAAGTAAATAGTGTTCATGTGGCGTTTGTTTATATACACGTATCGTATAAGAAAATTAAATCAAAGAAATAATCAATTAATTTCTTCGCATTTTCCATCGATAATCGAATCACACGTTCTAAGAAACAACTCTTTCATCCAAGCTTCGAAAAGATGATAAAAATAAGCATATCGAAGGCCGATAAGTGAAAATAAGCGGATATGTAGGGGGTTGGTGGATAAGAATAAATATCGGCGGCTATATTATAAGTTTTTATTTACGGAGTAGGGGAGGGGGGAGGAGAAAAAAATGTGCTATTTACCTTCTCGGGAAACCAGGGCGTCACGAATGGCATTTGAAACGTGTTGCTGTAAGAATGAAGGGTGTCGAACGAATCCGGGCTGACGGCGCCCAGCATGGAGAACACCCCTCTGCTGAATTGACTGCAAACTGCAACAAATAATCAAGTTGTTAAATTTTTCGAAAATTTAACAAAAATAATTATAATAGGAAGAAATTCGAATTCGTTTGAAATTCGTTCACACGAGCTTATTAAAATCTGTGACAATGAAATCGTGCGTCATTTCAGGAAAAAATGTAATTAATATTGTTTTATTAAACGTATTTAAAATCTTGAATAAGCAGAAATTTATTGGAAAATAATAAAATTAATAAGAATTGATTTAAATTGATTTATTCGAATATCCAAATTATCGTGGATATTAGAACAATGTACAAATGATCCTTAAGAATTAAAAAAAAAAACAGAAATATCTTAATATACATTGAAAAATTTTAACTAAAGAATTCGATACCTATCTAGTAGATAATACGTACAATTTTACTTAACGAGACAAAGAATCATTAATAAAAATAATTAATAAAAATAATTAATTTAAATAATTTCAATACATCTTAAAAAATAAACAACATAAAATTAAAAAAAGAATAATAAAATATTCCAATATATAAAAAAATAAAAAAAAGAAAAAAAACGTTTCAACTAAGAAAAACAGTCTGGACGATATAAAATTTTATCAACGAAATAAAAGTTTATGAAGTATATCGCAATCGTAATAAAAAAAAAGAGAGAGAGAGAGAAAGAGTCAAGAACGTTTTAACGACAAAAAATTACAAGAATCACGTGACACTGCAACATTTGTCCTCAACTAACATGGAAAAATGATCGCCATCAACGCGAGGCGCGTTCTCTGAGACCTTTATCGAGTAAACGAAGCGAATTTTCGCGAGAATCATGCGAGAAAATTCAACAAATCGCGTTGGCATTTCACGCGTAATTTCATTCGCAGCCATGTTGGCCTCCACAGTCGCAGGACGCGTAATATCTATTCAAAAGTGTCAAAGCATAGTCAGAAGTCCAATAACTCTGTTTTTCATTATTGGGTCGCGGACAAAGGGAAGGGAATTCCATCGTGATTTTTTTCTTTTTCTCGCGCGTAATGCGCGAGAGCTCGTGTCGAGACACGCGGATACCGACGCATTAGCATTGAAATTTTGTTCCATCAATGTTGATAAAAAAAAAAGAAAAATATTTCACGTTGCGAAGATGAAATTTTAATATTTCATTTTTGTAATTTATAATTCTTTTAATTTCCACTCTTTCGATCGAGATAATGTTTCGTACGTGGAAACTATTTGCCAAAATGTTTTAAATGATAAATATTGATAAAAACGTATTATTGATATTGTATAAATTTTATTCTAATTAAATACGAAGAGAAACGAAGAAAATTAAACGAGAAACAACAATTATTTTGTTATTTAAAGTAAAAAAATAATTTTGCAGACATCGAATTTCTTCATGATATTACATTTTACTAATATCAAGAAAAATTCCATAATTCTTATAAACAGAGAATTTAAATGTACAGTATATTTAATATCGATATTCCAAAATTTATAGTAATAATTATTAATCCCCTTTTCCGTAAACCACTCCAAGAAAACTTCTCAACTACTTCCTCTTCCTCCAAAATTTTCACCAATTTTCTTTTCTCGTGTCTTCGCCTAAAAGGAGCCAACTCCAACCAGCAAAACGTGTCCAGAATTCATCCTCTCCTCCCAAGGAGGCAGTGTTTTTCGAAAAGAGCCCGTATACATGTGCAAAGTCGATAATAGGTCGGGGTTGATCATGCATCCCTCCCGCGTACTAGACGCAACGGTGGCTGCATGCAACACACGGCATCGCATATCGATTAGAAGGTCTCCGTGACGAACGATTCTCTCCTCCTCTCGACAGTTTTGCGAGAGCAGGTGCACAGCTAATAAACGCGAACTCCGCCAAGTCGCATAATATGGATCGGTTAACCGATGGAGCAAAGTGGCGGCGAAATGGAAGAGAAGAACAATCCTGTCTAAGAGGACGGTGAGAAGAAGTTTTAACAAAAGTTTTAAGTTACTTTTATATATATATATATGGAATTTTTTCGTTAATACGGAGAATTTTAATAATTAGATTTAATAATAGGATTGTTTTTTTTTTTTTATTTTTTAAACTTTAGTTTTGATCTTTTACAGTCTTCACTTCTTAATCAATAATAATTTACATCGTGGTACATTTGCAAAATTATTTAACGTTGATTTAACAAAACTTTCCAACTGTTGAAAATAAAAATAAATCCTAACACTTTATTAATTGTTAATTACAAAAATAAATTTTCTTACTCAAATAATACGAATTATCTAGAATTTTATTTCCCAAAAACAATTTGTTACAAGATTTTTACTTCTGCAATTAAAAATATATAACATTTTAAACATTACACAACTTCGACATTCCTCCCTCTCCTCTTGTATAAAAGAATAATATTCCACCAACATTTCAAACAACGCGCTCGATTCGAAATCAAAATCCGTATTCTTTTATTTGCATCATTTGCACATTTGGATCGATCGAGCCAACTTACCACGGTGGTAAACAAGCGACGAAAACGGGGCAAACAGATCAGCGACGGCATTCACCGATGGGTGGCGAGGGGTGGCGAGGTGATTCGTCGCGAGATAAATAAGATCGTAAATAAAGGGGGCGCGCGGAACCGCGGCGGGAATCTTGATGGTTGGGGGAGGGGGAGGGACCCGTCGCGGAATTAATAATGATGAAAGAGCGAAGGGACAGAGCGGAGCGTGCCGTGTATACGTCACGATGCCCCATTATGCTTATGAATATAAATGCACCCTTGGGGGTGGTCGCAATAAATGCCGGCCACAGCGGATCCCTGAATTCTGGCCTAGCCCCTGCTATACACGCGGCGCGCTGCCCGTGGAACAACGAAAATAAAAAGGCCGGTCGCCGCGCCGCCGGCCAGTTTTTCTTCCTTTCCCCTCCCCTCCTCCTCTGTACGTCCGTGATAGCTTCCAACCAGTCTCTCTCTCTCTCTCTCTCTCTCTCTCTCTCTCTTCTTTTTTTTTTCTTCTTTGCTTCTCGCGGGGCCGCGACCACGAATGGCACCGCGCACCGGGCCGGCATAAAAGAATAATTAAAATAAAGTAGGCTCCGCGCAATTCTGCCGAAATTGCGGGCTCGGCTACGTAGTAACGATAACAACGAGATGGTTAATAAGGGAGCGGGCGCGATTCCAACTCCCTCTAATTACCGAAGGAAAGTATTTTATTGGAAAGTGGAAAATTGTTGTTCTTTTTTTTTTTTTGAATTTTGATCGATGGAGAGGAATAATTTTCTTCTCTACTTTTTAAATTTTTTCTTTATAAATATGATATCGATAAGGGAAAACACGATTTGATTCCAATAAATCGGAAGGAGGGAATATCGTTAGATACATGGAAAGTTATTTTATGTTGTTGTAAGATTCGTGTGGTCATAGAATGTAGGAGTGATTTTACGGCTAATTGCAGGAATTGGAAGAAACGTATTATTAGTTGCAACGCTTTCTTCTTTCTCTTTTTCTGTGAATTTGGATTTTATTCGACGCGAGGAATAATTTTCTTCTAGCCCTTGTTGCTTCCTCCCTTGGCTTTTCTTCTGTTCTTAGTTCCTTTCTTTTTCGTTCTTTCTCTTTGTCGAGTCACGTGGAATGGAATTTCTTTCATTAAGCTTTTCTATGGAATTCGCATAACGTTGCGGGAAACGAGCTATCGGAATTTTGGGATTTATACGGCGTCCCACTTCCTGAACCTGAAATCATGAATAATGCAGAAGCGAAAACGGGTTTCTCGTGAGCGGTAATTGGAGCCAAGCGGGTTTCTTCTTTGGAAACATTGGTCACTGAACTTTCACGCTCATTCCGATCGATCCGCATTTTTTCGCTTTTTGATATTCCGAAGTTTTCCTGGGAACGTTAAACTCTCCAAAAGTTGGTATTGCAATATAAATTGCCATCCTAGACTTTTCCAAAGTCTTTCTTTTCTCTTTATATTAATAAAAATTCCATCTTAAACTTTATATTATTATATTTATCTTACGTAAATCCATATAACGTGTATATAAATACAAGTATGTTACAACACATTAAAAATTGAAGATGTAGAAATAATTATCATATTATATTTACAAAGAGAATATGAAAAAAGTAAATACTTTACCTATAAACAAGTCACGTTATTAAGTATTATTATATTGAACGAATAACTCGACATTTGAATATTCAATTTTTTAATAAATTAATAAATTAATAAATAAAGGAAAAATAAAGAATCAAATTATGGTGTTTTGCCCTTCTCTTTCTTGCTTCTCTCTCTTCTTCTCTCCACCGTGGCCCAGCTTTTCATCCAGAGTGTTCGCGTTCTGGCAAAGCTCCAAACGTTTGAATTGTTGCTCCACTCGGTATCATATCGTCCTCCGTAACCTCTCCTTTTCGCCTTCCTCCCCCGCTTCGAAAACTTTTCTGCTTCCGTTTTATCGAGTGTCAGGCCCCGCCGTTTGCCGCGGGTGTATCGATCACGTTCCACGATTTCGCACCGACTGTTCCGCCGAATTGTCGAAACGTTTACGAGTATTTAGCTCGATTCGATTTCGTTCGACGCTTACGCTGCTTTCGTTCCCCGTGTTATTGATTGACGCGTGAAATTCGGGAGGAAAATGCAAAGGATAAAAATAGAGAGATCATCGACGATGATCGAAATTTTATCAAAATGAAGATTATTTTTAATCAAGATTATAGAATCTTTGAGATATTGATATAGACACAATAAATATATGTACATTTCATACATAATATACAATAAATTTTATTCTATCTACAGAAAGGGATGTAAGAAGAAAATTTCAAATTTTCTGACGAGCTCGCTTACTAAAACTTTCGTCTTATCGAATCAATTTCAATTTATCATTCCTTCTAGTAGAAAAATACGTTTCAATGTAATTTGCAAATTCATTCCGAAATTGGGAAACGAAAGTTTCAATTCTTAAATAAAAATAAATTATTACACACTTATTCGCAAATTAACAATTTTGTAAAATACAATTACGCTGT